GGATAAAGCAGGTGGGCCCTAAATCCAATGTCAACTATCCTCATAAGAGACACATAGGAGAGACGCTCGGGAAGGAGGGAGTCCACAGGAAGCTGGAGGCACAGAGTGCAGGGATGCGCCCAGAAGCCAAGGGACGCCTGGAGCCACCAGAGGCTGGAGGAGACAAGGAAAGATTCTCCTCTGGAGCCTTCGGAGAGGGTGCGGCCCTCCCAACGCCTTGCTCTCAGACTTCTGGCCTCCAGAACTGGGAGGGAAGACAGCTCTGTTGTTTTAAACCACCCGGTTTGTGGTGATTTGTTGTAACAGCCTCAGAGAACCAATATCCCATTTAAGAAACGGAGAGTTTAAGAAAAGCACATTCGCTGAAGAATCAAAAAGGCTGAGGGTGTGATTTTATAGCCTTCTCCTACCCCACGGACAAGGAAGCATCTCTGAGGGCCCCTGGACTCTGGCTGACAACTGCATCAACTCGTGTCAACTGAACAATTTGTTTCTTTAATGAGGTGTTTTAATCTCACTTCATGTGCATTGTTCGGCCCTCCTTGATTTTACTGTAAGTGACTGGATCGCCTTTTGATGTATTGCCAGTGCACCCTAAGTTATGAGCCTCTTTCTTTAAGGTTGGGGCAGGGAGGAACTCAACTTCCCTCTTCAGTTATTTCAGGCAAGGGTGGGAGCAGGCTTTCTGTGCCAGCAGCAGCATCCTGATTATGATTCAGGATGTGCGGCCAACAGCAAACAGTTCCTCTTCGAATTCAATAAAATAGGAAGGAGCAAAGGCCCAAACAAGCAAAGCCGGGTTCTCTTTGTGTGCGTGGCCAACGGGTCTTGGGAAGCTTGGGAAGGATGACACCCTATCTCGGGCTGAGCACCACCGGACTTAAACGGTGCTCGGGAAACTTCTGCACATGCTCAGATCCGGATTCCAATCCTGGTCTTCCAGACTCTCATTCTGGACAATCCCAAATCCATCGCAGTGGGAGTTACTTGCAGGCTATAAGGACAGGAGTGACCCAGAATGAAAACATCTATTATTATTATTATTTTTAATGTTTTTATTTATTTTTGAGACAGAGAGAGACAGAGCATGAGCAGGGGAGGGGCAGAGAGAGAGGGAGACAGAGAATCCGAAGCAGGCTCCAGGCTCTGAGCTGTGAACACAGAGCCCGACGCAGGGCTCGAACTCCCAGACCGTGAGATCATGACCTGAGCCGAAGTTGGACACTTAACCACCCGGGCACCCCAAAAACATCTATTTTTAATCTCTTCTCCTTGGAAAAACATTCTACGTGCAACTTCCATGCTGTGGATTGTGGCTACTAAGGGCCCCCGATGACAGCTTCTGTGAACATGCTGTTCTGTGCAACTCAGCACACGGGCTTCTCACTCAATAAGTCATGACCCTTTAATGGATGGCAAAATCAATTTAGTGTGAGGTGTCGGCATTTTTGCTTAATGGAAATAAAAGAGAATACAAAATATCCGAGAGTCTCTTGCACAGTAAGTGTGGTACCACAAAACGTTGCTTCTGTATTGTGTCACTGGCTTGTGATAGAAAAGGTACTCCTCACTGAGTGTCCGAACCCAAAAAATGTATGAAAGCCACTGTCTTAGAGAATCTATTGCCCCAAACCGGAGAGCACTCCTTTCCTCTTGTCCACGTCCCAGATTTTGAGAGCATGTTTGCAGTTAGGTTGGGGAACTCAATTAATGGGAATAAACCGTTACATCCCTCCTAAGAGAGGTTGCCATCTACAAGCAGGTGCAGATCCCCATCAGTGCTCCCCACTCCCCATGGGAGTGCCTTCCTCCTGTTCAAGCCCTACTGTGCCTGAAGCTTGCCCCCCCCCAATTCTTATTCCTACACTTTGATAGAGCCTCACGTGATTCAATTCCATCTTCTGGGGATGCACCGTCATTCCTCTGTAGTCTTGGAAACTCCATAGCCTTTCACAATTACTGTGCCACAGACTCACACACCTGGAGCTCCTGAAGTCTTTGTGGAGGGAAAGGAACCGCCTTACCCTCTCTCACTACCCACTCCCTTTGTCCTTCCATACCTAAGTGTCCAATTTCCCCTTTCGCCCATTTGCCAGGAAAGATGGCCACTCTGGCTTCCATCAAGGATTCTCTCTCATCCACGACTTGCCGACTCTCCTAGCCCCAGGGTCCAATACTCTGGCCACAATGTCCCACCACTGTGCCTTGTCCCCTGCCGGGTCTGCCTCATAGACCCGCTACCAGTGTTCTGATCACACAGGAAGACTGTAGCTAGAGCTTTCTGATCACACATAGTTAAGAACTGTGACCAAGCAGGCTAGCCGAGGGGTGTAGGCTGGAGCGTGCACTTTGGCATGAGCAGAACCGGGTCCAAGTTTCGGTGCTATTGCTTTCCTGGCTGTTGACCTTGAGCGAACTCTTAACTTCTCCAAGCCTCATCTGTAAGGTCAAGATAATGCTAACACCCACCTCAAGGGAGTTGTTAAAGCCCATTTTTTTTTAAAGATTGGTTGAAGTTTCTGTGATGAGTCCTCCTTGTGTATATGAATGGACTTCACCAAAAAAGTCTTTGTTTTGTTTTTTTTTTTCAACATTTATTTATTTTTGGAACAGAGAGAGACAGAGCATGAACGGGGGAGGGGCAGAGAGAGAGGGAGACACAGAATCGGAAACAGGCTCCAGGCTCTGAGCCATCAGCCCAGAGCCTGACGCGGGGCTCGAACTCACGGACCGCGAGATCGTGACCTGGCTGAAGTCAGACGCTCAACCGACTGCGCCACCCAGGCGCCCCCCAAAAAAGTCTTTGAATAAAGACTCAATAAAGACTGAATAAAGACTCAATGCTTTCAGGAATCCATACTACCTCGGGAAGATATAAAAAACAGAGACTTTCTGAAAAATATGTATGTCTAACAAGCCAAGCCATTCCCAATACCTTAGATGTATAAAAAGTAAAAAGCGAGAAACAAGGAGGGGAGGAAGGAAGAGAAGGAACTTTCTACATGTGGTCTGACCTCCCGAAACGTGCCACAGGGGTCTTGTTATCCTTCCGGCATTAACACCAGGCTGTGAGGATCTTTCTGCCAGCAGCCTGGTCTGGTTTGGCGGATCTGCTAGTCTGTTTCAGCACAAAAGATCCACTTAATGGAAAGCAAGTGTGCTGAGGGAAAACGCCGCTCACGTTTTCCTGTGCATTCTTTACACAAAATAAAAACGATTCAATAACCCAACACAACTGAGGTCATATTTGAAGGAAGGGACTGCCCTTTGCATCTGGGGTGGGTCTTTCTTCTAAGGTGGCCATGGATGGTGTGAAATTAAAAAAAAAAAAATGCAGTTTAATTTTAAAGGGTTTTTAAGACCCTCCATAATGTCTCTGCAGTGCACCAATAGGAAAAATACGGACACTTCCGTTTTCTCGAATGGTCAAAAACACAAACAGATAATTCGGGGAAGAAATTAAGTTGCTAATAAATATATAAAACCCAGTTCACTGATGATCAAAGATGTATGTGAAAGCAAAATGAACTGAAACTCATATCCTGTAAACAAATTTGTAAATACTGTAAAGGATAATTAATGGTAGCATAGGAATGATAAATCAGGCATTCTTCTCTGCTGATGGGAAGACAGAAGATCAACCCTTCTGACAAAAATTTGGTAATACGAATCAATAACTTCCAAAGTTCCATACCCTGTGGATAGTAATTGAAATTCCATTAAACACATCAAAGGGAAATAACCAGATATATGAGTATGTAGATATAGATATAAAAATTCTCATTATAATAAAATCTATAATAGCAAGAAATTGTAGTCTACATCTCTATTAAGGACGTTGATAAATAAATTATGGCTTATCAATATGATGGAATAGTACAGTCACTTAAATTATATTTTCAAAATGTTTAATGGCATGGGGAAGCATGGGGGGCAAAACTTTGCACATAGAATGTTCCAAATCAAGTAAACAGAGACATAGATCAAAGAAGGTTAGGGGCGCCTGGGTGGCGCAGTCGGTTAAGCGTCCGACTTCAGCCAGGTCACGATCTCGCGGTCCGTGAGTTCGAGCCCCGCGTCAGGCTCGGGGCTGATGGCTCAGAGCCTGGAGCCTGTTTCCGATTCTGTGTCTCCCTCTCTCTCTGCCCCTCCCCTGTTCATGCTCTGTCTCTCTCTGTCTCAAAAAATAAATAAACGTTGAAAAAAAAAATTAAAAAAAAAGAAGGTTAAAATGAAATATATTAAAATACTAACAGCAGTTACCTCTGGATGGTAGGGTTGTAAGTAAATTTATGCTTTACTGTATTTCCAAACTTTTAATTATGTGTCCAGCTTACCACCGTGTGATACTAGAGCTCTAGCTAAGGGCAAGCTAATGCACGGACACTTAGCTATCAACTCCAATGCGCTGCTTGGTGGGAAGGATGCATGTTACTCACGATCCCATTCCTTCAGGGGTACAACACACGCAGAAATGAACAATCTGAAAAAAATAAATAAATTAAGGCAATACAGGATTATGATCGGCACAAAGCCTTCCACATACAGGCATACCTCAGAGGTATCATGGGTTCAGTTCCAGACCATGGCAATGCCCAAATGCCACAACAAAGCTAGTCAAAGGAGTTTTTTGGTTTTCCAATGCATGTAAAAGTTGTGTTTGCCCAGTATCTACAGCAATCCATTAAGTGTGCAATAGCATCACATATAAAAAATGATGGGCATGCCTTAATTAAAACATACTTGATTGCTAAAAAATGCTAACCGTTATCTGAGCCTTCGGCAAGTCATAACGACTGATCACAGATCACCATAATGAATATAATAGTAATGAAAAAGTTTAAACCATTGTGAGAATTACCAAAATGTGACACAGAGACAGAGAGTGAGCAAATGCTGTTGGGAAAATGACTAGGGTTGCTACAAACTTTCAATTCGTAAAAAAAAAATGCCATACCTGGGAAGTGCCATAAAGCTGAACCCCAATGAAACAAGGTATGCCTGTAGGAGGTACTCAATAAACTAGTTACGTTCACTTCAGTAACAGATGAACAGAACCGGCCGTAAATGCTACTGTAATCAGATGGACAAGAATCCTGTGGCCTAGAGGACAGAAGAACACACTATCAGGGAAGGGTCCATGGAAGGCCTGGTCCATGCACTGGAGCTTAAACGAGGGGCTAACTGGGTGCAGGTGTGGAGGGTGGGGGACAGGAGAGCCTGAGGTAGGTACAGGCATTCCTCCTGGGCATCCCAGAGACATGGTTCGTGGCCTTACTGGCCTGGCGGTTTCTACATACTCACTTCAAGCTATGTTAGAAGCCGCCTAAACGTTGATCCTTTTCCTAAAGCAGCAAGAAACAAATGGGGGCGCAGGATTGTTGGATCACCAGCAAGTGGCAATTGCTGTCCATGCTGGTCGATGGCCTCTGCATGTCCGTCCCTTGGTCATGGTGGAATCTGAGTGTTGCTGGTGGTGGATCTTGAGGAAGCAGTCTTACTCCTCATCTGCACCACACTCCACAGTGTAGCCAACTCTTCCGATCTAGAGTCTCCCCCTTAATCTCCCACTGTCCTATGGAGCGTGCTCAGTTTCCAGCTAAGGAGCCGGAGGCTCACTGAAGTGATCGGATATGCTCAAGACAGAACCGGCTCGGGATAAAACCCAGACTCCATTTCGGACTAGCCCTTTTCCCCTAGACTACAGGACTCAGTGGTGATCCATTCCTGGAGAGATACTCTCCCTCAGCAAGTGCTGACCATCTCCTCCCCTTTGCGAAACCCTTCCGACGCTCGTCAGCATCTCCCCCATGTCTTGGAGTCCTTGTATACATCAGCATTTGGGACGCCAAAAGGCAACACAACTACAACATAAAATACGGCGGTTGAAGATTTCCACAAGGAGTGATCAGAATGTATTCTATTCTGTGCTTGTGTGTTGTGGTCATATATAAATGCTTCCATCAAATTCCCATAGAAATCTGTCAGCCAGGAAAGCTGAGGACGGTTGCTAAAGAGGGTTGCTGCATAACCGGGTGGGCTTGTCTGGACACTAAATTCAGCCCTGAGCTTCCTGGTCATCGAGGGAAAATGAACAAAGTAATGATAAAGCAAGGACTTTCTATTAGAAAATAACTCTCCCACCACCCAAAATAAACACACACACACACACACACACACACACACACACACACACATTCTAAGACAACTGGAAGCCAAAATAGAATGGGCCTCTCATATCCCCATCCTTGTGGAGTTACAAGGCAAGAAGTGGTCAGGAGGCAAGGTATGTCTTTTAGTAGGGGGCTTACCTGGGTTAGTAAAACGTAGGAATCTATCCCATGCATAGTCACAAACATTCATATGGCTGTCCAAGAAGTCAAAAATACTCATTTAAGTTGAAAAACTTGAAGGCAGTAGAAGAGAGATTTGCCCCAAATATCTTTGGAAAACTATGGTCTAGAATAATCCACACTAGCGTGCTGGAGGTATTCATCAAATGCTGCCCAACAAAATTTAAAAAAAAACCCACATTATCCATTTTCATATATAGAAAACCTGTGCATTTCATATTAACATTCAAATGACTCAGTTGCTAGAATGCCAAATAAAAGTTTAATTTCTGAGCCAGTTAAAAGTTCTGGTTTCCTAATCTGGTTTACTCTGTTAATCTATTTACTACACCTTTTTTCAGAGATGGTGAGTGAGTGCCCACCTCCTTCCTAGGTCTGTCTTTTCAAATCCAGAATGAACAGGATCCTGATAAATAAAAGGACTTGTTAGTAGAGTTGGATTTTGGGGTTTCGAGGGGTTTTTGTGGGTTAAAAAAAATCCAGAGGTTCTCTTTTCCTCACTCTATTTAAGCCTGGGGAAAAAGAAATTAAAAAAGCATCCTTGGTAAGGTTACTTTCACAAAGCCAGCGGGAACCACAAACCCTCCCCCAAGGCTAAATCCTTCCTCAGGGCCGGTTGGTGCGAAAGTCCAGAACTAAGGGGTTCTTTCCTCTGGCCCTTAGAAATAGCCATAATTAGGGCTTACACGGAGGTTATGATACATTGGTATCATATATAGCAAGAGTCAGCAAACTATGTCCAGTGAAGCATTCCTAGCTGCAACACAGACCATATGCCCTGCAAAGCCAACACTGGTCCCTTCCAGAAAATGTTGGCCACCCCCTCCAAGCATCTCACCTTGATTCTCAGAACTGCCCACAGAGAAACAGCCTCCTGATTTGATGGTCACATGGACTTCACAAAGAATGAGGGTTTGAGATTCCTCCTGGAATACTACCTGCAAAGAATACCAATTCACTGGGGTGAATGAAGGGACAGAGGGAAGGGACTGGAGAGAGGAGGGTTAGAAAGGTGACCCCAAAAGAAGAAAATGAGTCCAAAGGAGGGACCCTGCCACTAGCACTGCACAGGACGCCCCGCAGCCCCACCTGCTGCCCCTCCTGTTGTCCCCTGCTCCGAGTACCCACTAAGGTCCTTGGCGCACACAGTGGGGGATGGGAGCCAGCTGGCACCAGTCCCTGGGAGGCAGCTGCCCGCACCTTCTCCCACCTCTGTGGGCAGCGATATCACTTTGGTAGGTTGATATCGGCCATGATTGAGTATTTAGACCACAAAAATAGGCAGAAGCCACAAATCAGAGCTCTGCACCCCCCCAAACTGATTGGTAAGCATCTCCCAGCACAGCCCCGGCACAACCACCCAGAAGTGGAGGACGTGGTGTCCCTCCCTCCCAGCGGAAGGAGCGTTGGCTGCTGTCGGCTCCCCAGCTACATCTCTCTCCCTCAGACAACTGCCTGGAGCTGAAGGGAACTGCCACACCCCAGGTCTGCTTCCTTCCCTGGGGCACCCTCACTGCTGGTTCCTGCCTGGTGTAACAGGCCAGACCCATCCGGGCTCAGAGGGGCTCCACGCCAAAGTTCCCCCTTGGGTTCAGCTGAGGCCTTGGCTGCGACAGCCTCGGAGAGACAGAGAGGGACAGAGAGACATACAGACAGAGTGATCCAGGGGCCCAAATGCTCCCCACCAACGTCTTCATCTTCTCCCGTCTTGACTTGTCTGCGTTGCTGACGGTTCTTTCTGGAGGTTTTTTTCTCAAAAAACCTGGGCACCCAGGTAAGGCTTGCTTTGTTTTATCCTGACCAGCAAGACAGCTCTAGTATTTTTCAGCCGCCTTCGAGTCCCCGTTTTTAGAGGTGTGAAATGTGACCCCCATCTCCTTTCCGTTCCTTTGTAATTAATGTTTCCCTCTTTGTACTGAAGAGGGAAAGAGGTTCTCTTTACACGTGCCTTTCAAGAATTTTATCTGGACGGGCTTAGGTATGTGGCTTTCAGTGCTAGTGACCCCCAACCCCCCCGGTGTTGTTTGTAAACCTTAGACCCCGGTCTTTCCCACTCAGGGCAGTTATCTTCTATCATTTGTCTAATTATTCCCTCTCCTTCAGCTACTTCTTTTTCTCCTCCTGGAACTCCGGGGATTGATATCTTAGGTCTGCTGACATTAGCTACCTTCTCTCTTATTGTGCCTGCATGATTTCCATCTCTTTGTATTCTTGTTCTATGTTTGGGGGTTTTTTTTTATAAAGTATTTTTAATATATTATTATTTTTAATGTTTATTTACTCATTTTCGAGAGAGACAGAGAGCAGGGGAGGGGCAGAGAGAGAGGGAGAGAGAGAATCCCAAGCAGGCTCCACCCTGTCAACAAAGAACCTGATGCAGGGCTTGAACTCATGAACCATTTGAGATCATGACTGAAATCAAGACTCGGACGCTCAGGGGCTCCTGGGTGGCGCAGTCGGTTAAGCGTCCGACTTCAGCCAGGTCACGATCTCGCGGTCCGCGAGTTCGAGCCCCGCGTCGGGCTCTGGGCTGATGGCTCAGAGCCTGGAGCCTGTTTCCGATTCTGTGTCTCCCTCTCTCTCTGCCCCTCGCCCGTTCATGCTCTGTCTCTCTCTGTCTCAAAAATAAATAAACGTTGGAAAAAAAAAAATTAAAAAAAAAAAAAAAAGACTCGGACGCTCAAACGGCACCCAGGCGCCCCTGTTTGGGATATATTTGCACTTGATCTTCTAAGTCTATATTCTGCCTTCATTCATTCAATGAGTATTTTAGTCAAAAATATGATTTAGTTCCCGGAAGTCCTTTTTTGGGAGTGTGTTTGAAGGTCCTTGTTACTTCTGCACAGGCTGTCAGTGTTATTTCCTTGAGGAGCTGGTCGGTGGGTCCTTCTTCCCCCTCTCTCTGCCTGCTGAGCCCTCTTACATGCACAGGTTTCTCTTATCTGTCCTTTGAAGCTCAGGGCCAGCTTCTAGGGGTTCCTTAAGTGGCAGCAGTCCTGGGAGTAGCTGCATATAGGGAGTCAGTTCCGATCAAGGCACCAGGAAGAAAGAAGGATCTCAGCTCTGCTGTCTTCCCAGGTTCAGCTTCTCCTCAACACTTCTGGGACCAGGAAGGTTGCCCATGAATGCTGATGGAGCTCAGGACCCATCACACTTAGAGCCTCATCTCTGTGCTCTCCGTCTGTTGGCTCAGAGGGGAGCTCAAAGCTCAAAGCTGTCCAGCTGCCGCTCCCTTCCCCGGGTCTGTTTGTCCTCACTCCTCCACCACCGTCATTCCCAGTGGTTGCCTCATGGAGAGAAGTACCAGATTGGAGTTGGAAGTCAAAGGCAGCCAATGTACCATCTTATAAAAATCTCCATCCCACCCTCTTCACATAAATGAAGGACAAACTTGATCTGCGGTCTCTGGCAGATGCCCAATCTGCTTAGAAGACCATTAAACTCTTTGTTCTCCACTGGTTTCTTTGGAGGAAGCCCTTCAAAGTTATGCGCAATAATTTGATTTTTCTTTTAATAATTAGATTTACTTTAAAGCTGTGATCACTGGGAAAATAACTGGGCAAAAAAGATAGAGTCCAAAATGCACGTGCGTGTGTGTGTGTGTGTGTGTGTGTGTGTGCGTGTGCTCTCCCACATCCGCAGATCTACAATACACCAAGAAAAAAAAGTTTGCACGCGCAACACCAAATTGTTTTCTGTAGATGATGAATCTATGAATAATTTTTACTGTCTTCTTTTTTTCTTATCCAGATTGTCCAATATTTCTGGTTTATGGAAGACAAAAGAATTATTCTCTTCAATTGTTCATTCAGCAAAACACGTTATATAATGTTGGCTGATGCTCACGAGCACTTTTCCGAGAGTGTGAGGAGGACGGTGGTGAAAGTCCTTGGCCTCTCCATCTCCATGACTGTACAACAAGGGCCCATCTCAAGGACTCGATGCTTTCAGTGGACTCACCAGGCTGTTAGCAACCAGTGAGGGCAAAGGAAAACCACAGACAGAAGCTTCTTGCCCACAGTCACTCAGGACAGCCCCACCTAGGATAGACCCACGTGGAATGGGGTTCAGAGGCAAAGCTCAAGCACCCCAGCTTCCTCTGGTCTCTCTAGATGTCTATTACTGGCCCCCGTGGACTGGACAGTCTCCCAGAGCAGAACCATTTCCAGTTTACTGCTGAATCTCCAGCACCAGGGACATGGTCTGGCACTTAGTGGCCACTCAGTAAACATAGGTTGAATGAATGAATGAATGAATGATCGCATGACCTCTCACCTCACTTGATACTATAGGACAGGTTAGTAGATGGCATTGCTTGCTTTGAGGCTCTCTGTGAACTTGCAATCCCATCAAAGTGAGGAACAGAAAGTTGAGATGTATAGAAAGATTTCAGCTCAACAAAGGGGGCTCATACTTCTCATTTGTTAGGAAAATTTCAGTTCCTGTTGGTTCATACAGGAGGCTTCTTTCAGAGAGCTGAGTTCCCTGGCAAGGGGCACGACCTAGAAGGGGCTGACTGTCTCCTGGGAAGGTTGCTATAGAAGGGGCCACGCTGGCTATAAAGAGAGACCAGATGTCTAGGTTTCCTTCTAATTCAAACTCTATGGCAAATGCAATTCCTGCTTGGGAGATATTATGCAAATTTGTCTCTTTCTCCCAAAAATATTCTTCAACCCCGAAGTCATTCCTCTGCTTATTAACACTCTCCTTTGAGGCAGTCAAATATGATTCAAGGGAACAGTTGGGTGTGTCCTTGAAGCAACCAGGGGAATGAGAGTCACCTCTTAAGAAAGCCTCCTTTGGGCACCCTGGACTGGTCTGGAATCCAAGAAGGGGAGTCCGATGGAACTGTCCCTGGTCTGCTCCACAGGTATCTGCCAGGCCTCACCCCCAGGAAGACATGCTGTAGAACGGGTGACTATTTTTTTTTAATTTTTTTTTAACGCTTATTTATTTTTGAGACAGAGAGGGACAGAGCATGAACAGGGGAGGGTCAGAGAGAGGGAGACACAGAATCCAAAGCAGGCTCCAGGCTCCGAGCTGTCAGTACAAAGCCCGACGCGGGGCTCGAACTCACGGATTGCGAGATCATGACCTGAGCCAAAGTCGGACACTCAACCGACTGAGCCACGCAGGCGCCCCGAACGGGTGACATTTTAAATAACGCACCAACTGATACTGCGTGGGCACCGGCCACTCCAAACCGATGTGGCACTGGAGACACAGAGTGGGGTCTGCAAGCATCCTGTATTCAGTTGTTGGGTCCTGGGGAGGTCCTGGATGGGGGCTGGGCAGTCAGTGCAGCAGCACGGAGGCACTTAGGAGCCTAAGAGTAGCAGCTCTGTAATAACGGGCACAGAAGTCTCTGAATGGTCTACGAACCAGAATGGCCATACCCAATGCATACCAGCTAGACACCGGCCCTGCTCTGAAACCACTTCTGAGCAGGGTGACCCTCTAGCAGAGGCTGCAGCCCGGTGCCTCCAAGCCACATTTTATGGAGTTCTTTTATTAGTCTCTCATGGAACCCATAGCCACATCATAAAATTAAACACCCCACTCTGTACACCAAGTCCACTGACTTCTTGAGCCCCGATTAGCACTGGGCTTTTCCCTCCGGGTGTTGTGTTACAGTAACATTATAACTGTCAGAAAAGGAACCTTTGCTGGGAGCGGTCAAATCCTTCAGACCACCTCGGCCGCGGCTGCGGCCACAGTGTGTCACCCTTTTTCTGAAGTCCCTTTGCCAGCTTCCTGTCAGCCTCTCTCTGCGTCTTTCATCCCTACCCCCCCTCCGTCTCTCCCTCTGGGTCCCTTCCCCTTCCCAAGGCCCTCCAGTGCTATAGAGCCCGGGGTGCTCAGATGCTTGCCTGGAGACGCCCGTCAGGGTAGCCCCAACTCACCCCTGAGGATAAATTTAGCGGGTGGGTGACATCCCAGATGGAGAGGTTATCTTTAGCCTGGCGGAGGTAAGGAGTCAGTCTGGGCCATGCGGGACCCAGCAGAGGGAGCGGGGAAGGAGGAAAGGAAACGCATACTAGACAGTCTACAATATAGCCGGGCTCAAGTGTATTCAGGTGGTAGAGAACTCAGGGTGATGGCGTGCTTCCTGAAACATGAGGCTGTTCCGGGAACACCCTGGAATAATGGCCTGTTTCATTCCGTCCATGAACGAGGAACAATTTTAATAGCAGAAAATATGGCTACATTATGGGCAGGCAGTATAAAACCACAAGCACACATGTTCTTTAAAAAAAAAAAAAAAAGCAACACACTCAGCAAGATCGGTGGTTTTCAAGCTTTCCCATTCATATGTTTACTACTTGTTCATTAGTTTGGTTGCCTGCAGGTGCTAAAGGTTTAAGAGTTAAGAAGAATGTACGGAAAAAAAAATTTACGTGGAAAACTTGCATTACCTGAATTAGGGAAAAGGCCACTGCCGTTCGGTTTTCAAGGTAGGACATGTCAATTCGCCTCAGGAATACCAAGGCATCAGCTTAGAAAGAAGCGGGATGCCTTCTTCTGAACTGTTCAAGAAAGATTCTAGACTCTTCCTTAGGGAGGTCCAAATAATGTTCCTTGTTATCATCCCAATATAAGAAATCCTTCCTTTTCACTCACGAAAATTTTTCCTGCTGTCATTCAGCAGGTGTACCATAACCTCTAGTTTGGCCTTCTTTGGTGAGCGGTTGATCAGAATCGTAGTGACTGTGAGGGGAAACCAAGGTCTCAGTTCGAACCTGAGCTGGAATTCTGACGTGTCTGGGCTTGTCTGACACAACTGCGGAGAGGCCCAGGGGCCGCCTGGGAGCTTGTTCTGTGGGAAGGGTGACCTGAGAGACCGGAACATAGTCCTCTCCACTGGAGGGGAAGAGCAATTAATTCTGAGTATCCCTTGGCCAAACATGCAGTGGACTCCTATCTGAGCCTTACAAGAGCAGCAGGACCGTACAGAAAAGCTGAGAAGACCATCGTGTTAGAGTTTTGGGAGAATTCAGAGAGCAGGTAGTGGAGCTTTGGGACTGCACTACCAGACTTCACACAGAGGGAAGGGAGACAGGCAAGGAACCTTCTTCCTCTTTCCCCAGAGCTTTGACTCCAGAATGCCTAGGGGTGCCCAAGTGTAACTTGAGTGGCCGGCAGGAACAGGTCCCAGGGGCTCCTAGGACAACTCAGAGGGGTTGTGCAGGGGGCTGGAAATGCTTTGCCGTGGGCACCCATAGGGTACAGTGCCACCAAGAAGACATCCGTCCTCAGACAGTGCGACCCGGGGGCACCCAGCTTACTGTGCCATGTACTTAAATAATTAAGTCACGTTTTGTCCTTTTCTTTTTTAGATGAAATGATGCCAGTTTGGTCAACCAGGCTGTTGTGGGCACCCTTTATTTTAACATTACATGAGTGCATTTAATTGAACGTTATATGAGTGCATTCAAGAAATGGGGGGTTGGGAAAGCCTCTGATCTCACAGATGCCCTGCTTATGCCTAGATAGATTTCCTCCTTATTCAGCTAGAAGTTACTTTATTCATCTCTGTGACTCTCTCTCCTAGCAGTATACAGCAGAGTAACCAACAAATGACAGGACATTTATCAATACTTTAAGGGGAGTCTTGGGGCGCCTGGGTGGCTCAGTCGGTTAAGCGGCCGACTTCGGCTCAGGTCATGATCTCGCGGTCCGTGAGTTCGAGCCCCGCGTCAGGCTTTGTGCTCACAGCTCAGAGCCTGGAGCCTGTTTCAGATTCTGTGTCTCCCTCTCTCTGACCCTCCTCCATTCATGCTCTGTCTCTCTGTCTCAAAAATAAAAACGTTAAAAAAAAAATTTTAAAAAAAGGGGAGTCTACCCAATAAATACTTTGCTGATCTCCATCGGGTCTACTTATGATCCCCCTAGAGCACAGTGGTACTTGCTAAAATGGCCTAACATTTCCTACCCATATCCAATCTGTGTCCAACCACATCTCCTTGGATCCTTTCTCCACTACCCTTGGACCAGACCTGCCTTTTTCAAGATAGCATTTGAGGTATCCAGATTTTATTATTACACCATTATTGCTATGCATCATCATAATGTACAAGACAAGTTCTCCAGTTCTCAAGGTCAGTGAACCCTAAAACCTCTTTTCCAGATCACCAACAACCCTAACACCATCACCATCGCCTGCAAAAGGCATGGAGGGTGTTCACAACAACCTTATTAGTTCCTCATAGAAAATACAAAAATATTGTATAATACATGGCATCTCGGGGAAAAGAAACTCTGAATGATGGCTGCCTCTGGGCTGGGCGATGATGAGCTAAGGAGTCTGCTTGGACCCTGGGGAATCATTTTAATATGTAAATCATGTGCACGTTTCCCATTTCCAATTAAAATGCTTTTAAAGCAAGTTCTAAACAAACAGAAATACAACGAAGAATAAGACACAGTCCCGACCCTCTGAGCAGTGACGCTGACAGGTGTCCACAGTTGACAACATACCCTTTGGAGTCAAATGTCCACACCGTGTCATTGGCCCTATGGAAAGCTGAACTGAAATCAAGAAGGATTATGCAATGATCCGTCTGGCTCTGGGCCCTGACAGTTCTTTCCTCATAGCTGGGGTGACAAGACTTCCTGCTATGCCCAGTCCCCGGGACTAATCCTGTTCCTAGGTTGGAGGGATTTTAAGGGACTTCGGGCTTAGGTGACGGACTCTGCCTTTGTATTCTCTAGGCCGAGGGTGGTTCAGACCTTCTCTGGTGGGGACACCCGTCGTCTCCATTTTTAGTTTGCTTGATCATGAAATCTATCAAGGTGTAAGCAGGGCATCCGTGAGATCAGAGGCTTTCCCACCCCCCCCCCCCCCCCATTTCTTGACCAAATGCAGTTACTAAGAACCTCTTATGTGCAGGATATTCAACCAGGCCTGAGGTGAAGTGAGTAAAGAGGGGAAGGAATAGACCAGTGCCCTCCAGAAGTTCACAGTCCAGTAATAAAGATGGATGGAGTCCAGAGTTGAGAGCTTTACTGCACATAGGCAAGTGTGACAGAAGAGAGAGGGAAAGATTGCTTTCGGTGACTAGCACGCCGGAGCTGGTGGGGTTTCAGTTGGCAGTAGATGGAGACCGCCGGATCCAGGCTGAGGCCTGGGAAGGTGATCCCATTTCACACAATATAAAGGCTCTGCACTTCCTTGGGGAGAACACAAAATGGAAGGTGAAAGGAGTCGCATCCTAGGAGCCTTTCTGTGGAAACTGCCTTCCTCTCATTATCACGTCTGTCTGGTGAACACCTAGGCTTCAAGTTCCATCCCTAATAACACCCCTGCCCCCAGAAAGCCCACTTGGGTTCCCCCAGGCAGTATTACTTGTCCCGGCTGCTGCACTCACCAGGCTCGCTGTCTGTTCTAGAAAGTCGGGGACATTTAGAGGCTGTGCACAGGCTGTGGTGGTGCCATGCTGCCAGGGTTCAAATCCTGGCTCAGCCATGGACTTCATGAGTCATCTTAAGCAAGTTGCTTACCCTCTCTGGGCCCCAGCTTCACCTTCTGTCAAATGGTGTAATAATGGCACCTCCCTCCCAAAGTCACCATGAGGATGGCGTAAGTTAGTGCTCCCAGAGCATCAGAACAGGGCCTGCCTTGGTGTCTGCTCTGGGCTACTTAGAGCCCCAGGCTGCAGTGACCCTTCACTGGACTGTCCTCGGGACCTCCAGGACCTGAGGTCCAGCCTCACGTCCAGAAATCTCTAATGAACCCTGCCGGCTTGGAGGGGTCCAGTAAAGCAGCTATGCAATTACTATCTTCCGAAAGGAGGAACAATACAGGGCCATAAAAGGGGGGAAAATGAGTCAAGTCCAAATGCAAACACAAAGCAACACCCACGAAATGATGGGGAAGGAACTTGCAAGGGTCAGTGTAGGGGCTGAGAATTTGCCAGCCTTAGGAAGAGAAATACTCCCGTCAGCCCGTTCCCTCTCGCAACAGGGCACCAAGCCTTTGGGAGCGAAGGATTCTGCCCTTTCCCTCCAGGCTACGCGCGCCGCGCCGCTCCCTCCCCCGCGGGCGTTCCCCCTCCCGCCCCCCTCCGTCCCGCCCCGCCCCCGCCTGGCCGGGGCCCTGACCTCCGCTCCCACGCGGACCCGCAGCCGACGGGCTGGCGGGCGGGGCAGGAAGAGGGAGACGCGGCTCCCGGCACCCGAGATCCTTAACTGCAGCTTCCAAAGCCCTGGCTGATCCTAATCAGTGTGGGAAAGGAGCGCGGGCCGGCCCGCCTGCCGCAGACGCCGCCTCTTTTCGTAAACTTTATCGCCGCGCACAGCCGCTGATAAAGCACCGTAAATAAGCAGGCGGCCGGAGTGTGCCGGGGCCGGGGCTGCCGGCGCACGCCCGCCTCGGCCCTGTGGCTCCCGGGGGAGATGAATCACGCGCAGAGTTGGAAGGAGTTCCGAGTTTTCCTCCTCTGCAGATCAGCGGCCATAAATAACCACGCATTCCTTCCCTGCCCAGAAACCCCCTCACCTTTTGTTTTATGGATTCAATAAAAAAGCCCAGGAGTTTTCCTTCTGGCTGCCGGGCCACCCTCCCCATCTCCGGGGAGGTGAGTGTGCTGGCCTGAGTTACCCTCCCGCCTCTGGTTCAGCTCCTTGGGCCTGGGCTGGGCCTGTACCTGCGTCTCCTTTATTTCAAATCCCCTTTGGCTCCTGCACAACCCAGAGGGGCTGGAGCAGGGCAGGGAGGGGCGACCTGCCGCCTCTAGGGGGTAGGTGATGAGAACCTGTTCCCCGGAAACTCACCTTGGACTTGTGTGCATGGTGAACTCGCTGAGGCCAAGTCATAGCAGGAGCCCTGGCCTCCGTGCTTGGCCCGCACCCGAGGATTTAAGGCAGAGAGAGTGCAATACCCTGGCTGCAAAGGACCCGAGGGACCCCCACCACTTACACTATAGCGTATTCCAAAGTGGAAGTGTCTTAGATGCTATTTGGCAGATCTCATGATCTGTATTCTTAAGTTCTTGAAATTTTGACTCGAGGGGGCCCCCTCAATTTGACCTGTGGCACAATTTGGAGACTGAAGTTGGAGGAAGACTGCAGGAACAGGGATGAATAGAGAAAGAGGGATGTGTAGAGTGTCCAGCTCACCAGCTCCGTCACAAGACCCTGGGCCCTTGCCGGGCTCTGCTACCACCTGGCTCAGGGCCCTCCTGCAGCCACTGACCCTGTGTGGGCCTCAGGTTCCCCATCTGTCCCCTGAGTGGATGGTACAAAAAGGATCCTCCAGGGGCGCCTGGGTGGTTCAGTCAGTTGAGCATCCTACTCTTGGTTTCAGCTCAGGTCATGATCTGAGGGTTTGTGAGTTTGAGCCCCACGTGGGGCTCTGTGCTGACAGCTCAGAGCCCGATTGGGCTTCTCTCTTTCCCTCTCTCTCTGCCCCTCCCCTACTCGCACGCACACCCGGGCGCTCTTTCTCCCTCAAAATACATAAACTTTATAAAAATAAAAAAAGCGGGCGCCTGGGTGGCTCAGTCAGTTGAGCGTCGGGACTTCGGCTCAGATCATGATCTCACAGCTTGTGGGTTCGAGCCCCGCATAGGGCTCTGTGCCAACAGCTCAGAGCCTGGAGCCTGCTTCAGATTCTGGGTCTCCCTCTCTCTCTACCCCTCCTCCGCTCATGCTGTGTCTCTCTCTGTCTCAAAAATAAATAAACATTAAAAAAAATTTTTTTTAAGATTTAAAAAAATAAAGGGATCCTCCAGCTTTCCTACTGTATAGGAAATAACATCCTGCTTATAAATCACTACATTTCTGAGGTGCCTTCTCACAGGCCCCTCTGAGAAACACTGTTTTGTCTCCTTGGAAGAAACCAGGGCATGGCCAGCTTCTGAAACTGACTTCTCGTTGGTGAGGTTAACATTGAACTTTACCCCTCATGGAAGTCACAGAGGTCCAGAGTCCCTCAGGCCAGAAGGGAGTCCACCTGTGAAGCAAAAAGCCATTTAAAAATAAAATCCTGCACACCCTAACAGCATTAGCTCGGTGCTTCTTGGGGCCCTCAGTGTAAGGGGCCCAGTGACTGTGGTTCTGCTTCAGGTGGGAGGGAGGCACTGGTTGGCTCGGAACATCTAATCTGGCAAAGACAACGTTTTCCCCCAGAAAAAATAGAGGCTAGGAGGAAAGGGGCCTCTGATGGCAGATCTAGAGACAGCAATCCCTGATGGCAGTCCTAACGAGGTTGCCTGGTGTAAAGTCTCCCTCAGAGTATGTGTGGGTGCGGAACCACCCCTCCAGCCACCACGGCTGAGAGGAGCTCACTCACCAAACAGAAACGGACAAAGGCCCGCTTCTTCCAGAACCCATTTCTGACACTACGACATGTCCCAAGGGAACGTGTGGCCCCAGACAGACTTCATATCCTGATCTCTGGACAGAAAGCCACTCAGTCTTGTTTCCCTCATTTGCATGATGTCAAAAAAAAAAAAAAATGAGTCACACTGAATTGTCATTTGTTAAGAAATTTTGGCAAGAGCCTCCCTACTGAGATTGGAGCTGATTTCTCAAAAAGGAATGCACAGGAACTCGAACCCTGATTTGTTATGTGAATGTGATCAATGTTTTAGGCCTCAGTTTTTCCATCTGTGAATCCTGACGTGGTTTAGGGTTTCTTTCCACTCTAGCCTACTGGGACTCTACCGTAGTCAGGACTCTCACAAGTAGAAGGAAGATTTTAAACTTTCCAGGACAGAGATGAGTTAGGGAAACTTATCTAACGTGACTCTTCCACAATTGTTCTTGCTTTCGATTTTGTCTGCTGTTGTGGAGGTCAGCAACCAAGGCCAAAAGGGAGGGAAATCAAAAAGATCCGGTTCCATGTCAAGATTGGGCTATTCTGCCAATCAGTATACAATAAAAGTGGCTCTGAACCTTTCACAACCACAGAACTTGGTAGAATTTGATGAAAATCACGTGCTCCTCTCTCCTTCCCCCAAATGCACATACAAATACATACTTGTCTTTGCAGCTCATGTCAGGGGTCCACAGACCCCGGAAGCCCCATCCACAGACCCTGTTAGGAAATATTAAATAATTCATTTAATAAATTATTGATCCTCTGTTTCTGTATCTGTAAAAAGGAAATACCATTCACCCCCAACCAGTGTCCTGAAAACAGAGGAGGATAAATAGAGCTGTGCTATTAAAACCTATGGGTTCTCCGCCTAGTAGCCATGTAATATTGATGCAATCCTATTACCATCATGTGCCATCGTCATTCTCTCTTCTGCTTCGTGGGATGTAAATTTCCGTGCAAGACAGCAGCAGTCCTGTCTTGTGAAATTCCCGAAGCAAACCCTTCTGGTAAGCCAGCACTATAAGTCTTCATACTTGCTTGTTAGAGACGTAACGGGTCCCCGTGGAGACCAAAGAGAAGGCTAGAGGTAGCGCTGCGGGGTAATAACCGCCGAGGTAGGAATGTCCCAAATGATCCCCTTGTGGCTTTAAAAGTCAATGTAACTTTCCAAAGAGTCTTTCTTTCTCTCAGAATATGTTGTAACATTAGAGAAATGAACTCACAGAAACAAAACCAAGGTTTAGGGGAAAAGCTCTTGATGAAGTGATCAGTCATATATTAAATAGAGTCAGTCCATTTGGTCCAAGGAGCCAAACCTCAATTTCCATATCAGCCATATAATGAAGGAATTAGATTAGGTTCTGTGGCTCTTCCTCTTTCTGGGTCTGCATATTCTTTGAGAATGGGATGTAAGCTGTGGCTCCCGGCAGAAAATATACACACGATGGACACCTACTCTCACATGCTTTGACTTACAATTTTGGGGCCTTGCAGAGCCCTGGCAGCCCGATTATGGAACACGAGATTCCTACCAGCTACACTCCCCCTCCCTCAGGCCTCTTCTGCCTCAGCTGTTGAAGGCTCTTGGGATCCACTGCTAAGTCCATCTGTGGCTTCGGGGCCAAGTCCTTGACCATTTCTCAGAGCCTCTGCAAACAGAGGAAGGAGCGAAGTTCTCTTCTGGTGGCTGCTGTGAAAATAGCCGTGCTTTAAACGCTCGGCGTGGGGTCTGTTTAGGAAGCAAAGCTCCGACAGCAGTCTCGCAGGCAAGAGCATAAAACTCTTAAGTCAACATGTTTTGTTTTGTTTCTTTCTTAGAAATGAGGAACGACGAGGGCTGGGGGACGAGCGCAGGATGAAGTGGAGGGTGTGGTCAGAACATGCAGACAGCACAGGGCTTGCAGAAGGGGTGCTAAGGATTTGGAGGAAGCCTGGATGAGCGGCGATCTTCCCTGGGTGGGAAGTTCTGCAGCTTCTAAACAGACAGAGGGGCTCCTCCTACAGCACCTATGGCCTGCCTTACTGTGGTTCAGAAATAGTCCCTGCCCCTCCCTGGGGTAAGATGATATTTCTCCTCCTCACTGACATCACCCTTGGTCACAGGGCTTGCCCTGGCTGGTGAAATGAGCAGAAGTGACAGCCATCACTTCCAGGCAGAAGATTCAAGAACCACCTTGAGGTGTCCCACACGCTTTTCTCCCTCTGCCACAAGACTGGCCCTATTCCAAATCCACCACCCCATCAGCCTGGTCCCAGAGTGAAGGTGACCTGGAGTGGACCTGCTGTGAGCCTGTCAGAAACTGCAGGAAGTGAGAGAAAAAAGGCACCTATAGTGGGTTGAATGGTAGCCCCCCAAAAGATATGTCTATATCCTAATGCCCCAAACCTATGAATGTGACCTGATTTGGAAAAAGGGTCTTTGCAGATGCAGTTAGATAACGTCACCCTGCTCTGCCCGCATGCGCTCTACAACCAATGACAAGCGCCCTCATCAAGATGAGGAGAAGCCAGAGGCAGAAATTGAATGATGCAGCCATAAACCAAAGAACGCCAGGAGTCACCAGAAGCTGAAAGAAGCAAGGGAGGGTCCTCCCCTAGAGCTCTTGGAGGGAGGCTGAGACCCTGCTGACATCACGACTTCAGAATCGTGGCCTCCAGAATTGTAAGAAGATAAATTTCTGTTGTTTCAAGCCACCCCGTTTGTAGTCATTTGTTACAGCCACCGTAGAACACGAATGCCCCACCTTGGCAAAATATCTTTTCTTCCTGAGTCCCTCCCTCTAATGTAATTCGCAACGGCAAGAACTACAAACCAGTATACTAATGGATTAGGAAGAAAGCTTCTCTTTCTCTCTATCCAGTCCCTAGGGCAGGGCCGCGATTACGTTTGAAGGGGAGAATGCCAGCTCACAAAACCCGACTGGTTCACTTCCTCTCCAGAGGGGACACCCGCAGTGAGAGAGGTTGAATCCTTGATTATGGGCTGTGCACAAACTGATGCTCAAAATAAACAGCCCCTGGAATCAAAGCTCAGGGGACGGGGCAGAGAGTTTTAGAGTCTCAAGGGTGGAGAGAGATCACATCCGACATCTTCAGATAGAAGTTTTAGCGGTACTTTAGAGAGTTTAAAGGACTTTTGCACCCTTGTTTATTTTTTGGCTTTGTTGGCGACACTGAGGCCCGGGGAGGGGTGCAGCCCGCCCAGGGTCACGACTGAATTAGGGGCGGATGCCTGCTTCACCATTCAGCACAGAAAGGTGTTTCCTTCTCCACAAAAGTCTGGCTGTTGGCCTCTGTGCTTCCCACCAGGAACAGGGCTCTTACCACCTAACTGGTCTGGAGGGCGTAGGTCTCTCATAAGGTTTTACCTCGCCTAGTCTGGGGCTTCACTCCATATCATTTAAGCATCTTAAAATGCATGTTCATCCCACACTGAGTGCTGTTTTTATCTTGAAACATTTCCATAACTCTTTTAGAATTTTTGCTTTTGAAACTAATTGCTTATAACTAACTTGTTTGGTTTTATTTTCTTAAAAAAAATTTTTTTTAATGTTAATTTATTTTAGAGAGAGAGGGAGCAGGGGAGGGGCAGAGAGAGAGAATCTGAAGTAGGTTCCAGGTTCTGAGCTGTCATCACAAAGCCCACCATGGGACCTGAACTCACAAGCCATGAGATCATGACCTGAGCTGAAGTTGGACGCTTAACCGACAGAGCCACCCAGACATCCCTAACTTGTTTGATTTTAGATGTTCTACAATGGTCTCAGCAATCCTCATTCAGACTCAGGAAAATCTAACCATAGATTGTTTTCAAATGCAACGAAATGTTGATGGATGCTGAATTTCATGATTAATCAGATTGAAATCATGCTTCCTTTTGTACAGATTTAATTCAATCAATGCCAATATCACAGATAATGCAGATATTGGTTATCCCCATTTTATGCTTTCAAGCGGAAGGACCACTCTCCCGAGGATACCCAACTATGAACGAAAGAAGCCAAGAGGACTGCAGCCCAGGCACCCAGACTCCAAGAAGAGCCCCCCTTTCTGTTGAGCACAGCAGAGTTTCTGTTCAAAAGATTCACAGCCTCTCAAAGAATGACTAGTATGTCAACAAGGCACAGAAGTCAGCTTGAAAGCACTCCCACTGGTCAAATCTGGGGCAGTTTATTTCTCAAAATAAATAATGGTAGTAATACATTGTAATTATTGAGGAAAATAGGAATCCCTAAGTCCATGCGAGCACAAAAAAATAGAGAGGAAAGAAAGTTTTTCCTGACAGTAAAATACCAACTAATAGATGAAGAAATGATGGAATTTTAAAAATCACTATTTAGCAACCATCTTAGCAATAATTAATTCATCCAAAAGATACCAGTGGATGTTGAAACCTGGGGGAGGAGTTGAATAAGAAATGGGAAATTTGCATAGTTTCAGAGTACCACTACACAAAATTCTCATTCGTGACAAAGAGAGAGTAATTTTTTTTTTTTTGTATCTTAGAAAGAGAGAGAGAACAGGGGAGGGGCAGAGGCTGAGGGAAAGAGAGAGAATCTTAAGCGGGTTCCGCACCCAGTGCAGAGCCCAACGTGGGGCTGGATCCCACGACCCTGGGATCATGATCTGTGCAGAAATCACGAGTCAGATGCTCAACCAACTGAGCCACCCACACACCCCAAGAGAGACTAATTTTATAATGAAAAATCGGGGAAATATCAGACAAATGCAAATGGAGGGACACTCTACAAAATAATCAGAATGTGACATTCAGAAGTATCAAAGTTGTAAAAGTCAAGGAAATACTGAGGAGGCACTCTGAGTGAAAGAAGCGGGAGACAGGACAACGAAATACAACAGGTGATCCTGAACTGGGTTTCTGTTGTAGGGACCATGATCTGTCAAAACCTGAACAGCACCTGAAGCTGGATGGTAGGAAGGCATCAGTGTTAATTTCCTTATTTTGATGATTGCATTCCAGTTATGTAGGAGAATTTCCTTGTTTGTAGGAATTGTACATTACAGTATTCAGGCTCAGGAAAGAAGTTCTTTGTTTCATTTTTGCCATCTTTGTGTAAGTATGAAATTATTTCAAAATAAAAAACTTAAAAAAAAGTAAAAATAAAAAAATAAAAAAAAAAACTTTAAAGAAGAAATGTAGACACAAACAAGTCAAAGTAGTGAATGTTAAGCATATTTTTGTCACTGTTTCCAAGAAATAGGCTGCCTCCCTCAAGGACAGGGCAGTAACCTGTCAGCTGAGGCAGACTGGTGCAGCGCTAAAAAGACATGCGCTCAATGAATGTCTGAAAACGAGTCCTGTATCTTCGCTGGTTTAAACTGATGATGCCTGAATGTCATTCGCCATCAACCTTTAGTTAGCAGTGGCTCTTCCATTTGACCTTTAAATCTGACCCATTCAATGAAAAAAGTTCTGAAAAACAAAACACTAAAGGGTATTGACATGGTTCCCATGTAAAATGAACACTTCAATAAATGTTTTTTAAGAAACCAGAATCTAATTTTGTAACACGAATGCTGATTTTCTTCAAGGGGGTGGGTGGGGGGCGCCAGAAATGAATGTGCTATCATCACAGTGTAAGAGGAACAGAGGCAACACCGACTTACCACCGCACAGAACAATGCACCTTCCTGTGCTGGATTCTCCTGTGCGTTCTACTGCCATTACTCCTGAGTGACGAATTTCCAAAGAAACATTTTACAGTGTGTATGTCGTCTTGTCTGCCGACGATTGGCTTGCCCGCCCTCCCTCCTTCCCTTCCTTCCTTCCTTCCTTCCTTCCTTCCTTCCTCAGTGCATTCCTTAATGCACTCAGCATTGTCTGGGTCAGTCGGAAAGTCTATTTTTCTTGCAGACTTTAGGAAATCTACAACACCTAGTGAACCTATAATTAAGCTTAATATAACCTGGAGAAGGCAGAAGAGGAAGAAAATGAAGGCTGTCAATAAGTGGCAGCGTGTAGTTAGCACATACCCATTTCCTTTGCGGAAAGGTGACGAAAGCCTGCAAACATCTAGAGTGCCCTCTGTGTGCTGGGTCTAACTCAGATCTCTAGCTGTTTCAGCTTTTCTTTTTTTGAAGAAATGATGCTCCTGGGGACTGTTCGGAATATTGCCAGGGAGTCCCCTAGGAAGCCGCGCAGACCCTCCTTTCTCTCCAAGTGGAATAGGCTGTCCCTGACTCACAACCCTGCTGTGATCCAAAAGTTCTTTTTTAAATTATTATTTAGAGCGTGGAAATATTGTGAATTATGGTTGGGTTTCCAGTTTAGCTGCAAAAGCCCCCCCATAATTAGTGCATAAAGTAACCAATACGCATACATACACGCACTCCAACGTCATCGTTAGAACCGCTAAGGTGGCATTTTCGGTAACGGTCCGAGTCTAGTGTTCATAGTTCTGACACTACCTTGATGAAAAGGATACATGTTGACAGATGGCTCCTTCACTTGGAATTCTGATGTGAACAAGAATGTGGTGAGGGCTCACAGTAGGCCATTCTCTCACTCTCCCCGACAGGCATAGATCCCCCTCCCAAAGCCTACACTGAGTTTTATTATGCTCTCATCATTGTCTTTTTATTCCACTGCACACACCTCTTGTTTGTTCTCTCTC